AGATCATTTACTTAAGTAAAAGTAGCACAATAGCACAGTATTACAAGTATTATCAACAAACTGCACTTAAAATGTCTCATTATGCAGAATGGCCCCAGTCAGTGTTATATCATTATATCACTGACGGTTCCTCATTGTGGTCACAGTGGTGCTATGTTACCAGCGCCATAGTTTAATAATAATTAGTATTTAATCAATAAGTCAATAAAGAAAACATTTATCGGCCAAACTTTCTGTGGAATTTACTGACTCTGTCTCTGTTTTACATCATTGTAAACATTTTGAGACATTTCCCCTCCAAACTTTGACCCCCCAAAGAGGTAAATGTATCCGGTATTTCAGAATAAAAGCATAGATTAGAGAAAAGCCTTTAAAAAAAAATGAATACACATACAAATTACAATCCCTGTTGTCAAAAATGTAGTCAGTAACCTCATACAAGTATCACAAAACTGAATTAACTTGATTACTTTCTGTTACTTTTGGATTACCTCAACACCAAATATGTAGATTAAAACTAGAGAAAAGAAAAGTCAATAAGAAGTATTGATGTAAATGTATTCTATAAGACAACTGACAAAAATGATGTATTTTAAAACTTTGATTATAACTTGAATCTGTCGTTTTTTCTGTAACTGTAATGGATTACAGTTTTTTGTATCCTGATTACGTAACTCGGTTACATGTAATCCGTTACTCCCCAAGCCTGAAAGTAGCTCCACCTTTAATACACAACTATATCAGGGACAGGGACAACTTTTAATTTAACTGGGTATTTAGACATTGATGCATTGACACTCTTACTTCAATAGAGTACTTGAATGCTTATCTTACTTTTAGGACTAAAAGTACTGTATCTCCTTGTGAAATGTAGTAAAGTAGAAGCATAGATAAAAGTATAGCTGCATTAAACTTTAAATACTCAGATTGAACCTGGACACACAGACACTCCACAGGACGAGTGATGGACAGCAGCTGCTGCAGAACAGGTGTAAATACCTTTGTAGAGCTGTTGTATTGTTATACTGTGGGCGTATAATGTGTGTGTGTGTGTGTGCGTGAGAGACAGGCGGGTCCACGAAGGGGCTGCGCGTGCACGAGCCTCCTCCTACCCTAGTGATGTCCGGCGACGCGCGGCGCGCTCCTGACATCCCTCTTGTGCTGCTGCCGTACTGTAATCATATGATAGGAGTCGATCCCCGCCGCAGAATACCGACACACCGGACGGACAGCAGCGGAGGAGCCGGGGCGGAGGACAACCAGTTGATGGTAACCTTTTACAGCCGCGGAAGAAAAACAAAGTGCGTGGACTCGGGTTTTTTTTTTTTTTTTTTAAAGTGTCACAACAGAGCCCAAACTAAACTTTTTTTTTAAAAAGAAAAAACACTCTGGAGAGTCGGACAGAGGAGAGAGAGAGCGATAGAGAGAGAGGGGGACCCGTTTTTTAGAGGAAGAAGAGAAAGAGAGAAAGAGAGAGAGAGAGAGAGGGGCTCACACACGCGAAACGTTAACCGAGAGGAGAGTTGATTTAACCGGAGCTGAGACGAGAGAGAGGCGGTCAGCGGCCGGTAGGAATCCCCCGGGGTCCTCGCATCGCTTGTCGGGGCGTGTCTTTCCCTTTTTTATTTTTTTTTTTATTTGGGGGGGTCCTCTGTAAGTTTTTTCCGACTAGCAAGGTCACTTTATTGTTGAAGCATAAGCCATGGTCGGGGAGACAGAGGTGAAGGAGAGACCCAAGTCCAACCCGGACTATCTAATGCAGCTGATGAACGACAGGAAGGTGATGAGCTCCCTGCCCAACTTCAGCGGCATCTTCACGCATCTGGAGCGGCTGCTGGATGAAGGTAACCCGGCTGCTGTTGAGAGAGGGAGAGAGACTTTAACCACCTGTCTCATTAGTGCATCTTTTTCTTTTTCTTTCTTACTTTGACTAACTTGAGTTTCTGTGTTAATAAAAGTTTATTGAATAGCTATTAACTGCAGGGATTCTTCCCTGGTTCCTAGGAAACGTGACAGTAATGTCATCCATCCAGCACTTAAAGATGCTAATGATTAATTATTAAACACCTACATTGTTAAGTTGCCCCCCCCCCACTGACTTTTTTTTTTATAAAGCTGTGGTTGTAAATCCACATTATCAAAACGCTTTAAACTAGGCGTGTGAATGAATAGGATGTGTGCTTTGTGGCCACATTTTTTTAATTTGTTGAGAGAAGCAGATGAGCAGCTCTCTCTCTCTTTCTCTCTCTCTCTCTGTCTGTCTCACACACACACACACACACACACACACATGCACGGGCAGTTGGTGATGGGAACAAACAGACAGTTGTTAGTCTTTCCCAGTGACCTAATGCGCAGGCTTATGTGAATGCTGCAGCCCATCCCTGTGCAGGAGCGAGAGAGCATGTCACTGTGTAAAATACTTTGATTTGAGGTGCAACTGATCAATGCACTTCTTCAGTTTGTCCCACAGGGGTTTGGGAGTGGATCAATAAAGGAACATCTTATCTTTACTTGTTGCTATCTAACATTTTGTCCACCAGCGTTTGCAACAAGTGGCACAATTTCTTTTAAAATGTCCCCTTTTTGTTGTTGTTTCCCCCCCCCCAGTCGCCACAAACTGAAGCCAAGGCCTGTTGTTGCTACTGTTGTTACACATCAGGATCAACAAGGTCCTGACTTTGTGCTCTGTGACAAGTCTCATGACGCAGCAAGGTTATTCCCATACCAGACGACCTCTAGAGCCTGACAAATAGGTCAACTGAACATCTCTAGCTTGTGTGTGTGTGTGTTCATGTTGAAGACTGACATTGGCATTCGCCCATCGCACACGATAATGTGACACCCACGGTTAGAATGAAAGGCATTGTACCGTGCTCATTTCCAGCCTGGCTGTATCTTCTGCCTGAGCAATGTGGACAAGGAGGGCACAGCACCAAAAAAGTTTGTGCTGGTAATAGGAAAGCCTGCCTGTTACACACATCGGTGCATGTTTGTGGCATATTTGGACACGCTGCGGTCGAGTCTGGTCTATATATAAAACCAATGACAGGTCGAAGTGTTAAGATAAGGCCTACAGCTCGACTCTTTATCTTTCACTCCTTCAGCTCTCTTGTTCTTCTTTCACTTCTCATTTTCTTCCAGCGAGTCGCTCCGTTTTAACAGAAGTGTGACAAAAGGCCCTGCTTGTCTGTGCAGATTTGTTTGTGTATGTTTGTGTTTTTTAATAGCCCCTTTCGGTCCTGTAACAGGTCAGAATGGGTTATTAGAGGATCATCATTGTCACTGTAGCTGCGGCTGTAATTATAGTGTCCTACTGTAGTTATTACGGTGAGACTGATCACTCTCAGAGCAGGGAGACATGCCTGTCAGACAGCTTAGGTCAGATGATATTTGTGCCTCAAGGCAGTTATTCTGCCATGTGTGCCTGTGTGTGTGCCTGTGTGTGTGTGTGTGTGTGTGTGTGTGTGTGAGTGAGTTCAAGCCAGGGGTCTGTGTGTATGGGTTGCGTATGTGTTTGCGTGATGCAGTAGTCAGTTATTATTGTGCTAGCGTGTCATTACAAAGGCATCAGAGGCTAGCATCGGTCATTGAGACAACACAAAACAAGCAGACAGGCAGACAAACATAGTCTAGCTTCTGATTGTGCTTCTGTACCAAACCTAATGTAAAAACTTGACCGTTTAAAGCTGTCATTTTTAAGCAAAAAAAGCCTGTTTGCAGCTTCTCCAGTGTGAAAATTGTGCTGCTTTTGTCTGTTTTATATAATAAAAAAACGGCAAAAAGATTGGCAGATGTTAAATTAATCAATCTTAAAAATAATTGCTATTGCCTTCGAAGAATTTCTGTCGTTGAATAACCAGCACCCAGAGCACTATAAACCCTGGTGGGTGGAGCAGGTCATTGTGACCCCCCCCCCCCACATATATGTTTTTTTTCCTTGAATTATTTACACAGTGAAAGAGGGGAAAACTGTTTGTGTGTGTCCGTGTTAAACACTGGTAGACAAAGAAAATGGAAAGAGGGAAATTGTCAGCCATAGAGGAGGCCTGATTGCAAAGCGTTTAGTGGTTAGATTCTACATTGTGGTGCAGAATGCTTGTGACTGTCTCCCTGACTCCCTGTCTGTCTAACTGTCTGCTGTCACACTCAGGGCCTCCTGTAATTCTGGTGACAGTGAGTCATCGTCCTAAGAAAGCGGACGTGTGAAGAAACGTGACACTTTGTCGACCCTCACTGACATTTTTTTCTGCATGTCCTCAGTTGAATTTACCCCCGTTTTCGGTCTCTGTGTCCCCCTGTCTCCCAAGAAATCGGCAGGGTACGCAAGGACATGTACAACGACACAGTGAACGGTGGCATGTTCAACGGGCGGGACATGGAGGAGCTTCCCGAGGCTATCGGCCCTGTGGCTCAGCTGCAGGAGAAGCTCTACGTGCCGGTCAAAGAGTACCCCGACGTGAGTGGACAAAATCCATGACCTTTGACCTTTTAGAAGAGTTTCTGTTTACTTTTTTTTTTTTTTGCTGTTGACACTCTATCTCCTCTTAGTTACAGAAAGTCTGCCAGAAATTCAGCAAGGCTTTTAATCACAGGGACGCTTTGCTTTACATTTTATTTAAAAGGTGATTTCATTCTGAGGTCATCTCTGCTCACACCCAATGATGCAATCCAGACATAAAATAGATCAATAATGAACCTTGACCAGTGTTTCCAATAAGATAAAAAAGGAATCATTTTGAATGACAAGTTTTGTTTACTCAAAAAGGAAATATTCTGGTGGAAATTCCCTCACCGTGACACCATTTTTCCGTACGTTTACACCGTAAATATTTATAAGAGCTTAAAAAGGTGGATTAAGCCTTTTCCCCAAATATAAAGGCGTCTGCAGCGAAGAGACTTTACCATCCAGTGCATCCCTGCTCACGCCAAGTACAGTTAAGCACTTCAATATGAGTTGCGTGGATCTAGATTCAATGGCTCACATGATTTTCTCCATGCATCAGCTCGCCAATCACCGAATACAATGACAGGCTGTCCTCACTCACATGACAGAAGACTAACAGGACACACACACACACACACACACACAGGAGTGCATTGGAAAACGGTTGAGATCAAGGTTAAATTTAGAGAGCAGTTCCTCTATCTGAATTTGTGTGTGTGTGTGTGTGTGTGTGTGTGTGTAAGAGAGAGAGAGTCGAGGGTCATCGAATTGGCCAGAGCACGTATGTTGCAACTGTTACTGACTAAACATTCGGTTAAAACTCAGGGAGAGTTCAGTGGAGTAAAAAAAAAGGTAAGAAGAAGCCGGACAAATGTCATGAGAAACACAAAGAGGGACAGAGGGATAGTGGCAAAGAAACACACACACACACACACACACAGAGGGGCAGCTGTCTAGTTAATCACTCAGTCTTAGTGACAGATAAGGTTAAGAGAACGCCGCTCTCCTGTCATGCCACCAGCACCAGCCAGCCCCCATATAATGAGCTATTTTTGTCTCTCTGAATAACACAAACACATCACAGATGCACAAACCTCAAAGCCACACTCACTCACGCGGCACATGTAAATACACACACATTGTAAAAACTGTGATAGGAAATGTGTCTCTCTTCATTGGGGTCTGTTTTTATTATCAGTGTGTTTTGTGTAGTTTAACTTTGTAGGGAGGATCCTGGGCCCACGCGGACTGACGGCCAAACAACTGGAGGCGGAGACCGGCTGCAAGATCATGGTGCGAGGAAAGGGCTCCATGAGAGACAAGAAGAAGGTATACGCAGATGACACACACACACTCATTAAAACACACGCGATAGTTGGTTTTGTTTGTCTTTCTCGTTTTCTGGCCAAGTTGGCCTCATTTGTATGACTCTGTAATAGACCACAGGAATGTTTTTGGAGGTTAAAAATTGGACTAGTAAAATTTTGTGCAATAGGCTTGTTTGCTTTCTCGAGTAACATGAGAAGATTGATACCACTCTCATGTCTGTATGCGAAATATGAAGCTGGATCCAGGAGACAGTTAGCCTAGCTTAGCATAAAGACTGGAAACAGGGGTACACAGATAGCCTGGCTCTCTCTGAACGTAACAAAATCCTCCACCAAAGACTCAAAGGTGCTAGCTGCAAGCTAGTAGTTTCCCCTTGTTTCGAATCATTATGCTATGCTAAGCTAACTGGCTGCTGCATGTTAACAGTACAGATAGTGGTATCAATCTTCTCATCTAACTTTCTGCAAGAAAGTGAATAAGTGTGTTTTACAAAAGGTCAAACTATTCCTTTAAATAGCTTTTTCACTTTGCCTAATATCTGTGCAGGTTTCCATTCCTTTAACATGGTCTTAAAATTTAATTTGCACAAAACTTTGCTTAAAACAGGTCACACTGAACATTATTTGTACTTGCCAAAGTTACATTCTTGATGTGCTTGAAATTGATCTCATTACCACTCAGCAAAGACAAAAACTTGAAGGCTTTCAGCAGCTTTGACTCAAATGGAAACTGATAGCAGCCCGCAGGCAGTAAAAGATACATTTGAAAATGTACAAATAACCATGATTTGCTTTGGGAAGTGTTTGTCAGCAATGTGGAGTCTTGGAGTAGCTTGTAGTAAGGTGCTGAAACATGCAAAAACTGTGGTCCTTTAAACACCAAAAAACGCCTTTTTCTAGAAATCAAATAATAAATCTATCTATCTATCTAT